ATAAAATTATCCATAATAGTTTGGATGAGATGCAACCCAAATGGACCATGCCGGTCGGGTTAAGTATATACCAAATAAGTTATGGACTTAGACACCTTATCCAACAGGCAAGTCACAGTATAAATTGTTCATCGGATGAAGATGAATTCGGTGAATAGGATGAAGGACTTCAACATCAGTTTGGAAGGAGAACTCGTCGAGTCAACGCCTAACTCGACGAGTAGAAATAGAATCTAGGTCAGTCGTTTGGACATGGACTCGGCGAGCTGGCGAGCCAACTCGGCGAGTCGGGTCAACTGAAAGTTGACTCTGACTTTGACTTAGGGCATGATCAGGGGTAAAATTGTAACACCGTAAATTTCAAAACAAAATTTTCAATTTTCGTAAAACATAATTCATTTAATATTCATAAAATTAACCATATTAATTATCTAATTCAAGTAAATACAAAATCCCAAGATCACAAATGTATAAACTCCATGTGTGTGTACGGATCAAGTCGGCGCCTTCCCGTGGTCGTCACTTTGTACCTGAAACAATAACATCAAACACTGTAAGCACAAAGCTTAGTGAGTTCCCCAAAATACCATATATAACACATATTAGCCACTCGAGGCTATAACTCTGTGGGTCCGTGCACCCAAACTCTGTGAACCCTCAGGTTCTAACTCTGTAAACATGCACAACATAAATCACATAGAAATAATGCAGTACAACACATAACATACATAGCATACAAACACTCTATCACATAACTCTGGTTACCTACTCAAGGTAAAGTATAGTGAGAAGACTCACCTCACGTCTCGGTAAGTCGTGAATCCTGAAATCACTAGTGCTCGATCCCCCGAGCTAAAGTCCTCCTATATCACAATACATCTCTAATTAACACTTTCCCAACTAAGGTTGACTACTCTTTAACAAGTCAACTTAGGTCAACGGTCAACGGTCAACTTTGACCGGACTCGGCGAGTGCACAATAGCGACTCGGCGAGTCTGAGCGTATACACTGATTTCCCTGAAATCCTCCCTTGACACGTCGAGTATCCTCTAACTCGACGAGTTCCACCTGGCATGAGTTGTGGGGCCACCACGACTCAACTCGCCGAGTCTCAAGAACAACTCGGCGAGTCCAGCTTGACTCAGTCCACCTGTCCACTCAGATTTCCCCCTGACTCACTGAGTCAACCCTCCCCAACTCGGCAAGACCACTCGCTGTGTGGTCGAGCAACATTCATACTACTCGCCGAGTCTGTTCTTCGGACTCGGCGAGTCCGTGCCATGCAATGACTCAAACTTGCTCATAAGGTCAGATCCAGTCCATTAACCCATAGATCCAGTCCTTCCAAGCATATTTAGCACGTAAAGTCACTATCTTGATGCACATACAATCTCTATATGACCATAAATGATGTTTTTGTCTCAAATACTACAACCCAAGGTCATAAACTCCATTGCTATACATAAAGCTTGAAGAATGAGGCTCTCTGGACCTCTATGGATCCAGATCCAGAGCCTCAACACAAGAAGGGAACTATTTGGCATCAAATCATCCCATAATGTCCATAAGAAACCCTAGATCCCATTATTCATCACAAAACAGAAAGTAATCCGAAATCATACCACTATATTGATGATCTAAGCTTCAAATCCACAGAATAGCAACCTCCTTTGCTTCCTCTTGCTTAGAATCTTCTCCTTCTTTGCTAAATAACACACACAAGGGTCAAGAATGCTTCCTTTCTCTCTCAAAACGTTCAAGCACACAAGGGTTTCTCTCTAAGGGTTGGGTGAGCACAAATGACGGCCATAAGGCCCTTTAAATAGGCCGCAAACCCCAGAAATTAGGGTTTCACCACACAGCGTGGACTCGCCGAGTCCACTCTTGGACTCGTCGAGTGCGGACGCGAACCCGTGCCCAAATCCGCGATCCTACTCGGTGATTCTAGGCTCCAACTCGCCGAGTCCACTCACAATTTCCATAAAAAATCCAAAATAAATACCTGAAAATTCCGGACTGTTAGAAAAATGGTCATTCTACCCAAAGGACAGTTAGCAGTATTTGACTAAGTGTTTGGTGGGAATTACAACCGGAGGATTTCCGGAGCAGCAGCAGCAGCAGATAGACTATTCCCACACAGATAAGCAGCTATTACGAGGTGAGTTACCTTCCAGTAGCAGTGGGTCTAAGGCCACAATGTCGGCCCACTGGTAGGAGATATGTGATTAGATGATTGTCTTTGTGATATTCATCTAGGGTTGCTACTACCTGTGTTATGTTTATGTGTTAGTGACAGTGGGGGGATATAGTCCCCCTGAAACACCGGTCGATAGGGCCGAAGGGGCGGTCATGCCCAGCCATGTTAGATAGACTATGTGATATATGCGTTATGTGGTAGTAGTAGGCGGTGAAATAGTCCCTAGTATCCGGTCGAGAGGACCGAAGGGGAGCCAGCACCCAGATATGCTAGGCAGTATCCGGTCGAGAGGACCGAAAGGGAGGCCAGCACCCAGATATGCTAGGCAGTATCCGGTCGAGAGGACCGAAGGGGTAGGTCGGGCACCCAGATATGCCTGACAATTTACGTATGTTATGTGATTATATGGTATGTGGTACAATGGGGGAACTCACTAAGCTTTGTGCTTACAGTTTATAGTTTTGGTTTCAGGTACCTCTTCATCGAAGGGGAAGGAGTTGGCGCGGTAGCGGCACATCATGCACACACACTGGTTTCCGCATCTATTAGATTTCTCTGGGATTTATACTCTGATATTTTGATTGGTTGTATGATTTGGCTTTTACACATGGTTTACGCTGTGATGTGGTTGATCAAACAATGTTTTTAATTATTAACGTTTTCTAAAGTAATGTTTTAAAAACGAAATTTTTGGACGTGAAAATTGGGTCGTTACATTCTTTCAATGGGGGATTGACATAGCGGGACTTTTTCCGGAAGTACCACGAAGGCTTATGTTCCTAATTATGGTTGTCAATTATTTCACCAAATGTGTCAATGCAAAAGCGTTAGCAGTAATCTCAAGGAGAAATGTAGTGAAGTTCATTTGGAAATAGATAGTTTACCACTTTGGTCTCCCATACATAATCATCAGTGACAACAAGAAGCAATTTGCAGAAAATCCCTTCAAAAAATGGTGTCAAGAGAAAGGAATCAAATCGAGATTCACTTCAGTGGCGCACCCTCAGGAAAATGGGCTGGTAGAGGTAAAAAATAGAACTATGATGAAGGGAATCAAGAAAAGGTTGGGGCAGGCTATAGGGAATTGAGTTGACGAGCTAGAAAGCAAACTATAGGCCTACCTGACAACAGTACCCACACCGATTAAAGAAACACTATTTAGTTTGGTTTATGGGAGAAAAATAGTTATTCCTAAAGAGGTAACAGTGCGAAGCACTCAAAATAGGAATCTCATGAAGATATAAATAGTGCAGAACTATAAACAAACCTGGATCTTGTGGAAGAAAGATGAAGTGACGCGACCATACAAAAACCAGCTTACAAGGCAATGACGGAAAGATACCACAACACAAGAGTCAAAGACATAACATGGAATGTGCGAAACCTTGTTCTTAGCAGATGTGACGTGAGCACGCAAGAACATGTTCGAAAGTTAAGTCCAAACTGGGAAGGATCATATCAAGTGATAGAAGCCAGAGGAAACGGTTCATAACCTCTAGAGAATAGGAAAGGAATTTGATTGCCAAGAACATGGAATATGTGAAACCTTTGTAAATCCCATTTCTAGAGTAATAGTGGCTGTGAATTAATCTATAACTGGTCAAGAAATGTATCAATAGCATTAGGTAGAAATCGCCTTTTTATATATCCTACGATTATGACCTTTAATGTAATTTTTAGCAATTGATCGATAAAATTTTGAATTTATTTTCATCGAGCATCAACAATAAGTCTTTGTAACTTATGATTCGGTCACCATGATCCACCAAATCATGGTTCGATCTATTTAATTTAGCATAAACAGAAATTCTTTGTAACTTATGGTTTCGTCACCATGATCCACCAAATCATGGTTCGACCTATTTTCATTTAACAAGAACCATAAGTCTTTGTAACTTATGGTTCGGTCACCATGATCCACCAAATCATGGTTTGACCTATTTTCATTTAACACAAACCATAAGTCTTTGTAACTTATGGTTCGATCACCATGATCCACCAAATCATGGTTCGACTTATTTTCATTTAACACGAACCAGATGACTTTGTAACTTATGGTTCGATCACCATGATCCACCAAAATATGGTTTGACTTGTTTTAATTTAGAATGAACCCTAAGTGTTTATAACTTATGTTTCGGTCATCATGATCCACAAAATTATGGTTTGAACTATTTTATTTTAGCATGAGCCATAAGTCTTTGTAACTTATGGTTCGGTCATCATGATCTACCAAATCATGGTTCGACCTATTTTCGTTTAACACAAACCATGAGTTTTTGTAACTTATGGTTTGGTCATCAGGATTTGCAAAATCATGGTTCGACCTATTTTCATTTAGCACGACCAATAAGTCTTTGTAACTTATGGTTCGGTCACCATGATTCGCCAAATCATGGTTCGACCTATTTTAATTTAGTATGATCCATAAATCTTTATAACTTATGGTTCGGTCACCATGATTTACCAAATCATGGTTCGACCTATTTTAATTTAGCAAGAACCATAAATATTTGTAACTTATGGTTCGGTCACCTTGATCTACCAAATCATAGTTCAAACCTAATTTGATTAAGTATGACTTTAAATGGTTTGAAGACCATTCGCTAAATCATGATTCAAATGTCTTTACTAATAAGTGTGAGCTTGAAGAGGAACTAAAACGACATTCGATGCAACTAGAAAGAAGTTTCAGAACATACACCAAGATTATAGGTATATCCAAATAACAAGATATTGCTTAAACGACACTGCATACAATGAATACAAAAAAAAAAAAAAAAAAAAGTTACCAAATACAAATCAAACACTGACACTTGCAGCATTACGCCTTGAAAGAGGATCCAAAGATGTCAGCTTCACCTTCAACATGCCAATATCCACTTTGCCTCCTTCCAAGAGCCCAAAAAATGAGTACTTGTACGAAGCCATTTTGGAGTAGCAATCCAGGATATGACGTTGGGAATCAGGATAAGAGTAAATAACGTTCTTCCCACCCAATGCGTTAGGGTATTTTTCCTTCATCTCGACGTAATCTTGATGAAGACCCAGTTGGATTGCAACAGTCTGAACGGCAGCATTAACATTGCCAAAGTCACTTGAATCTAACAAACAACAAACAAAAGAAGAATACCTTCCTTTATAACCCACTGCAAGTCTGAGACACTTCGCTCTGATCAGGCCTGGTATTGGAGCACATCTTTTTTAACAGTAGTATGAAGTTCGACCAGAGATGCAATTTGGGAATCTATCTCAGACACAGTAACTCTAAGTTTTGATAATTCCTCCTCAAGAAGTCTGATGCATACATCCTTGCCTGAACACACAATTTCCAGTTGCAAAACCTTCTGGGTATTTTAAAGCTTCAATGATTCAAATTGTTGCTTTTTCTCCTCTAACTCCTGCCCTAACCCCAATCGGTGACCAATCGCGACATCGGCCTTGACCTGAAGGTCTTGATTCAGCTTCTTCAGCTCCTCTTGGCAATGAAGGATTTCACTTAAGTCATTGATTACCTGTGTGTTCCTCTCCGATAAGCCATGCACTTCCCATGGAGATCCTTCGCCTCTTCATTCAATTTCCAAAGAAGAACACGTATCCCCTTCAACGCTTGGAAATATTCCTCGAACCTGAGTTGTTTCCCAGCCAATACGCTATCCCATTGGTGGGTACGGCAAGAAACCTCGATCATTCAATGATAGGAGTTTCTCCCAAGGTAGAGGAAAGGGAAATATTAGGATCTGGAGTTTCAACATCAGAAAAAGCTAGCTTTTCTTCGGCATTCTTGAATTCAGGATCAATAACAACCGGACACTCATGAAGATCTGTTGTTGGAGGTGATTCTAAGGAAGGCTTTGGGTTCATAGATTCAGACAAGGCTTGACTAACAGAAGACAACATACTATGACCTCTTGCTACACCACTTTGAGTAATCCTTCGACGATTAGGAGAAGAAAGGTCGATCGGTTTGTCAAAACGAGTCATCATCACCCCTTCCAAAGAAAGCGTATTTTCTACTCTAGCTTTTCTCTGGAAGGAAGAACCCTTTAGCATGGCCCTGGCTGAAGAGGAGGGGGATTTTCTACTTTCGCAAGATTTTTAGAAGAAGAGGGCATCACATGAATGTGTGGTATCCACACCAGAAGGATTGGCGGTGGAGTCCAGGCTAGATTCTACTTGGGATAGGGAATCAGGGATGGCAACCTCCTGCATGACCAATAAAGAGCCAGCCAACTGCTTCCTATGGATTCATTCACTTTAACAAAGTAACCTCACCATCCGCTCGGGTTTCCAAGGGCTTTCTCCCTCATTTGTTCCAGTGTGCACTAATCCCCAACATACCTAACATTACCTCCTCAGGATCAACCCACCGGACGAAATTATCTAACAAACGGCTCATAATATTATTCTCATCGGAAGACAAATCAGCAAAGGGATCAGTGGCCCTGTCAGAGGTAGCACCAAAAAACATTCGACAAAGAAAATTCCTCCTTCCAATATTTAATGGAAGTAGGAAGGTCGTCACAGATCTCTACCAAACCATAGTGGAGAGAAAAGGACACCCAATCACCATTAGACATGGTCATATATATACTAGTAACGAAATAGGGTAATGGAAGGCGCCACATTCCTCTAAAAGCTAAGTTAGTAGAAATCAAGCTTATAATAACAAAGAAAGTGGGAGGCACATGAAACTTAAAGAGGCTCAAGAACCATAGCATGGTGTAGTAATTTTTTGCACTAGTTTCAATAAGGAATTGTTGAACTTGAATAATAGGTATTTACAAATACAAATTGTTCACATTATTGGTTGAAATTATCTCTGACTTAACAAATGTGGAATCTCTCATTGATGGATTCTCTTGATGGATTTTGGTAAATCCATCAAAATACCAAAATGCTATATTAGATCTTAAATTTGGTTAATGACTTTGAGTTATGAACATTAAGATGTAATCCATGTATAATAATCAAGTATGAGCTTGATTACTCTTCCTCTCTATAACAAGGCTAGAATGAGTAACATATTCTTTTAGAAAGAATACGTACATGGATACCATACACATTTATCAAGGCTTTCCCAAAAAGGATTTTCTCATACTCATGTTATTACAATGGTCTTTATTATACTCTTGACATTTACTATAATCAAACCTTTTCAAGAAAAAGTAGTTTTCTTAATACACATCTCCCAGAAGGTATCTATATAGCTTAGCCTCAAGATTTTCTTAATCCATGTTATCCTAACAAAATGTGAAAAGCTTAATATCCACTTGTAGATCTAAAGAAAACATCCAAAGGCTGGAATACACATTTTAATATAAAGATATATGCTAAAGTTATATATCAAAATGAAAATAACATGTGTGTTACTAAGAACTAGTGGGAGGAGAGTGATATTCCTAATCTTATATGAATGAGACATAGTTAATAATTTGAAATCATATGAAAGGTCATTTCACCTTGAGTCGGAAGATATTTTTAAAATGAAAGACTTAGGAATGAAAAGATACATTCTTGGAATGTAAAATCTGTAATGATAGATAAAGATGAATGTTGACAATTTTGAATTCTTTTGCATAAATTAACAATATCTTGAAAAAGGTCAAGATACAAGATTCCTTGGAGGATTCTTGGCATTGTCACATGACACCATTTTGATATTGTCTCAAAAGGACCTAGCACATGGGTTTGATCTAGGTAAAATTATTTATATTCTATTTGCTTGGAAAATTAATCCATCATTTATGTCAAATTTTGCACAAGATTGGGTATATGATTATGCTATGAACATATCGTGATAAAGAAATTTGATACATGGTTAAGTCATTGGATAACTATAAGAACATTCTAAGAGTACATAAGAAGAGCTAAGAGAATGTACATAAGATAATCATTTTAGAAGATGATCTTTACGTAAAGAGCTACATAAAATGCTAACTTTAAAACTAGTATATGTAACTATGAAATATAGGTGGATTATGACTTTATTAAGGAATAAAAAGTAAGTTTTCTAGAAATGAGGTCCAAGAAAAATATAATTGCACAATGAAAGAAATAAGAATACACTACTACTTTATATGTTGAAATAAAATATGATTAGATGAATCAATTCACGGAAAAACTATGAATATTTCAGCCATTCAAGGATCACATAGAAATCTTCATGACTTCGAGAGTATACTTAATCAAGCTAAGAGACTCTCTTTCAAGGAAGAACAAAAATCATATGTTCCAAGATATTTAACTATACTTATAATAAAGTGAAATATGAAGATCGTAGTATTAACATAATTTACACAAATTAAATTTAGTAGGACCTATTATTGATAAAGTCTTTCCTTTTAAGCTAAGTATGAGTGACCATACATCATCTGTAAGACTTAATTATTCAAGAGTATACTTGTTGTGTTCTATATTAACATGTTTAATCTATGAATACTCTTATTATTCTAAAAGTTTATAGTTGATTGTAATTGTGTGAGAAATTATGAAGTCAGAAAATTAAAATTGGATTGTTTGACTCTCACTAGATGAAAGTAGGCAGGTGGTTGTAACCAAGTTTCATAGTTACTTGTCAGAGAACTAGTATTAAACAGACCCACATCAAGATCAACTCATAGATCGAAGTTATGAGTGATACTTGATTAAAAGGAACTATCTTTGTATCCTTAACACCTGAGATATATACTGGGACTTAAGTGTAAGGAGTGTTGTGCTTAGATATGGTCAAATGTTGATCCTAAACTGCCAGCTATAAAAGATATTTTTTTTGTATGGCGTGAACTATGCAAGAGGCTTATGTAGTCAAGATGAAATTATTTCCTCTTATATGTTGAGATATAGACATCTAATGTCTGTTACCCAAAGTTGAACACCAAATGAGATTGATTGAGATCCAAGCCTCACGCTTAATAAGATGTCTATAACAAAGGGGTAACTAATAAACATACCTTATAAATCAGTTGAAGTTTAGAGCATTTGGGAATTGGATTTTGATGAATTACACTCTACAACATATCTTATTAGGGGGTGTGAAATATTTCTATACATTCACCACTTCTTATATAAATCTATGATGAGTCTTGTCAAGAGGATTTACTCTAAAATTATTTTAAAAAGCATAAATGAAATCGGTCTTTTCTGACCGTGATTTTGGGGATGTCACAGTTGGTATCAGAGCATTAGTTTAAGCGAACTAGGAATTTGTAGGATTTCTAGACTTAAACTTAAGATGTTGAGTGGAATTTTGAGATGTGTGTCTGTTGGATTTTAGACAGGAGCACTAGTTTATTTTTAGGAAAGTTGCCTAAAATGCTTTTATGTGTTAAATGTTATATGTTGCCATATATGATATTATTTGTTCGGATCTACGGTTTGTTGCCAACCGGATCTGAAGGTTTATGTGTTTAAGATTCTAAGCATATGTATACGATATTAGAACTAGCATGTAATCGTTTCGGAGTGATAAGGAGGATTTGAAATCTATCGCGAATAAAGATCTAAATTTCACCTTATTCGGTGTGTAGATCAAAAATGGTGAGAACAAGGAGTGGCATTGGAAACGCGGATGAAAACAGGAATCAACCGCCAGTAATTGAGCAAGCACCTGTTGTAGCAGCAATACCAGAACCAATAACGATGGCTAGGGTGCAAGCCATGATTCAGGCTATGTTAGCCGAACAAAGGGAGGAGATGCGACTAATGTTGCATAATAATAGGGACGAACCTATCATACCTATTGAGCAACCCGAATTGATTCCCAAGCAATCGGAGGAAGGGAACAATAGTCGCATTATGAGTCAAGTTGGGACTCAAGGAGAACGAAGGAACGATCCGGAAAGGAGAAACAACAAGGATGGGCAAATGTACAAGAACTTCTTGGGCGCCAAGCCGCCAAGTCTTTCTAGGAGCCCAAAGCCTGTTGAAATTATGGATTGGATCTCCGAAATGGAGATGGTATTTGAAAGTTGCGACTGTAGCAACAAACAGAAGACTGTCTTTGCAGTTAGGCAACTGAAGACTGGAGTCTTGAGCTGGTGGAAGTTGTTGGCAGATACTATGCCACGAGGAGAAGCTTTGAAAATGTCATGGGAGGAGTTCTTGGAACAACTAAGGGTGCAGTATTGTTCAGAGATAGATCTGATTGATCCGAACAATGAGTTCCAAAACTTGAAGAAGGGGAGGATGAGCATAGACGACTATGCTACTACATTCACTGAGAAAATGAAGTTATTTCCGTACCTAGTACCAACGGAACTCTCCAAGATTGAGAGGTTCGCCAATGGACTACCTGCCGACTTTGGTCCAACAGTCAAGATGGCAACTACTCTGAAAACGGTTGTTCGTGCAGCTAAGAATGTGGAGGCGCAGCAGAAGGAAAAGGGTCTGGAAAGGATAGAAGTTGGTGCAAAGAGGAAGTTTGATGGAACTTCAGGGTCCAATAAGAAAAACAACTTCTCGAAGTCTGGTTCGAGGGGAAGTGGAGGCGAAGCGATGTGGTGCGACAAATGTAAAAAAGAAGCATCATGGAAAATGTGAGGTAGTGGCCACATGCTACAAGTGTGGAAAGTCAGGTCATTATGCCAATGAATGTACCCTCACTAAGAAAGTTTGTTATGGTTGTGGTGAGGAGTGACACATGTCGAGGGACTGCCTGAAGAAGAAGGAGGCAGCTAGACCCAACCTTCGGCCAAAGCCAAAGGCGAGAGCATTTCAGATGACACTGGAAGCTGCTAAAGATGAAGCTGATGTCGCTTCAGGTACCTTTCTCGTTAACACATTGCCAACCCAAATTTTATTTGATTTTGGAGCCAAGATAATGCTTTATTAGTCGAAGTTCCCAGTGGCAAGTTTGTACCTATTAGCCATCGTATGAAAAACATCTTAATCGACCTTAATGGGAATAAGTTCCACGAGGAATTATTACTTATCGAACTTAACGGTTTCGACATCGTTTTGGGAATGGATTGGCTTAGCGCCAATGACGCCGAGATATTGTGCAAGAAGAAGATAGTTAAAGTAAACCTGCCTGGGAAAGATTCGTTTATGGT